TTTCATTTCCGCCATATTCTTCTGCTCTGCCTTCTCAGTTGGGCCAACGTGGGATTTTTATTGCTGTAACATGTGAACACATTAGGAGTCATTCATTGTGGGAGCAATTTCTTTGTTTGAGCAGTTTCCCTCAGTTGATAGTAGTGTTCTTTTTTGTTTTTCTAAGAATGTTTAATCTTTCCTACGTGCAACCAAACTGTGCTAGATGCATTGTCTTGAGGGTTGCCCATTTCTCTACTATTTGTTTTCCCATTATCATCAGTGAGACCTACCTGAATTCTTGTTCAGATCATCAGCGACTAAAGCAGGTTGTGAAGAACCTACAAGAAATTGGAAATCAACTGCTTCAGGAACACAAAGGAGAACTTTCCAGTTTAAAGGAAGAGATTAAAAGGTGTTTGATATTACTTTTTTACCTTAGAAAAACCCGAACATCTTGGCTCTATATATTTTTTCATCAAGATAAAACCCAATGTTGATGAAAAGTATGTACATTTCGGGATATGGGATTCCCGAGCTGATATCGCATGATCTATACACTGTATGAATTAAGATTATCATTTAGACCGTTGTTGATGATGAGATTGGTTTACGTGGTCTAAAGATCATATAATGTCTTTCCGGGATTCCCATTAATGCAGTGTATTGAAACTATCAAAAGGTTTTGAACAATTGTTCTCAAGAATTAACATAGTTGGAGATGAGCCGTCTAATCGCTCTACATGGGTTCCAAGAAAATTCCCATCCAATTCGCCTATAAAAAATATAAAATGTGATAGGACAAATCTTGTTTCTTCAGTGATATATCTAGTGATTTTAGTTTTGAAGAAGTTTGACCCTTGATATTCAATCACTTAAAAGGAAGAAAATAAAACCTAGATCATTAGTATACAAGGAAAAATTGAGAAAATAAATTTTACTAATGGAAAATATAGCATAAAAGGTAATGTTGATCGGTTAAATGCATCAGCTCATACTCGTAGATAGAGGACAGATTTGCTATTGTTCTTCACGAAAAAGAAAGAGAGAGAGAGTATTAGGGACGAAATTAAATATAGTCAGCTTGTTTTATCATGAGTAGTTCTAGCAAAATTAACAAATTTAAGAAGAAATTACGAATTTTCCGCTTCAAGGATTAAGCTGTTTAGATTAGAGAAAATTTTACAAATTAGATGTCAAGTTTTGTTGACCAATTGATAAAAGATGAAGGGAAAATTCCAATTAAGGACCCCAAGTGGGGTCAAATTCTCAAAAAATGGTCCAAAGTAAACATAGTGATTTGGGGTCCTTAATTGAAATTTTTCCAAAGACGAAAACCTTATAATTTAACCAATCACACGTGACGTTGGAACGCGCAATTTGTAACATCATGGGAGGTGACACGAGAGCGTTGCGCACGTTGTAGCCTTTCCGTGGTTCGCGATAGAAATAGCGCAGTCTGAAGGTTTAAAGATTGGCTTTTGTCCTCATCACTTCTAAGAAGGTCGATTTCGTCAATAAAATTGCCGGGAATCTCGCGGGGTAGTACCCCACGATGTCTATTGCCATGATTGGGGGATGCCTCCCACTTTTTGGGAGAAAAGAGACTCAACAGCATTGCACACGTTGTAGCCTTTCCGTGGCTCGCAATAGAAGTAGCGCAATCTGAAGGTTTAATGATTGGCTTTTGTCCCCATCACTTCCAAGAAGGTCAATAGAATCGCCGGTGAATCTCGTGGGGGTAGCACCCCACCCACGATGTCTATTGCCATGATTGGGGGATGCCTCCCCACTTCTCCTTTCGAGAAAATGACATAAGGGAACGTTGAATTTTGTGGACCGCTTTCAGCCTTCGTTTATTAAGAAATAAATCAAGAAAAAGAGTTCATAATTTTGAATACACTCAATTTTTCTCGTATCATGTGTGCTCAATATTTGAAAATTGAACTAGTTAGAATTAGATATGCATAATAAGCACTTGTTAACATGGGAATGACCGGATTTCGCGAACGAAGATATTTTATCACTTAATTTATCTTGTATTTACTTGATTTCACAATCTTTTCGACGATTGTTTTCACGCATTGATGTTCATAAAATTACTATTGATGTGCGTTTGATTTGGTTTTTTATTCTACTTTCAACATATGTTACCCAAAAGTCTTGAAGTTAGTACAACGAGGAAAGAAAGTGCTTGCATGAGTGTAACAGATACACGACTTATGACTTGAGGTTAGTACAACGAGGACAAATATGATCTGTCCATTCCATATTTGGGCAATCCATTAAGGTCCGGACTTATGACTTCCTTCGTTTATGGCATTTCATTGACTTAGGGTTCTCCGTGTAAAGCAAGCTTTTTCGACTTCAAGAAAACGTTATCATTACGTACAAAACAAGTTAGTCTTACCCTATTAGCACGTTTAGTTTATTAGAAGCTAACAGATGATGTTGTTGAAGGAAAATGGAAAAGAATTTTGGCTTTTTTAATTGAAAAAAAGCAAAAAAAAAAGGTTTAATTATATCCATTATGACACATTTACCTTGAATTTTTTTTGTGTCACCAAAAATCCAAAATATGTACCCGAATGACACACCTACTCTCCGTTAGGTTCTATTATAAACTGCCGTTAAAAGTCTGATATGGATCTGAAAAATAAAAATAAAAACTAAAAAAGAGGAAAAAAATTTGAAATTACCATCCATCGTCTCGCTCAGCCAAAGCTCCTCGGTGCTTGTCCATCGTTGCCCACAGCCGTCTGGACCTCCAACGGCCTTCGTCGGCCTTTGTTTGACGCCCCGCCAGATCTAGCCATGGTGGTCCTGAGCTTCGAGATTGGATATGGCTTCGAAGCTTGGAGGGATTAGCTAGTGTAGATAGCTCAAGTTATAGCGTCCAGTCTCAGCAAGCTGATTGTTGATGAAATTACTCAGCTATCGGCCTTGCAATTATCAGGTACTTGGTGAAGAAACTTAATGTCCAATATAAGCTCCGACGCTTTTATGGAGAGACCCCTTTGATAGTGCTGAGCTTCTCCCTTTGTTCAGATCACAGCGATCGCATTGTCGATCAATTTACCGAGCTAGCCTAGCAATCATTAGGTCCTGGGTGAACAGAACTTGGTTCGCTTATAAGCTTCTACACATTAATTTAACAAAACCAATTTTAATTAATGAAAAACATAGCATAACAGGTAATGTTGATCAATTAAACAGACCGGCTCATCAATAGAGCATGGTCTTGCTATCATTCTTTATGAAGAAAATTAGGGATCGAAATAAATATAATCGCTCATCTTATCTTTAGTGATTAAGCAAAATCAGAGATTTCAGAAGACGTTATAAATTTTATGTTTCAAGGTTTAAGCCTTTTATATTAAGGGAAATATTTCTATATAGATGTCAAATCTCGTCGGCCAGTTGATAGAAGATGAAAATCATATAATTTAAGCATATCACACGTTATCTTATAACACACAATTTGGAACATCATGAGAATAGATACAAGAGTTGCGCATGTTTTAGCCTGACCGTGGTATGCAATTAAAAAGGTTGACCAAGTTGCTGGAAATCTCACGTGGTAGTACCCCACCATGTCTGACTGTCGTCATGCATGGGATTGCCTCCCACTTAGGGAAGGTTGAATTTTTGTTAACTGATTTAAGTCTTCGTTTCATTAAGAAATAAATCAAGAAATTTTTCATAATTTTGAACACATTTACTTTTTCTTGAATCATGTATACTCGATATTTGGAAATTGAACTAGTTCGTATTAAAAGTGAATGAGCACTTGTTAACATGACCATGACCTAATTACATAAAACGAGTAGTTTTATCACTCAATTCGTCTTGTATTTGCTTGATCTCACAATCTTTTTGGCGATTGTGTTCACACATCGATGCTTATCTAATTAATATCAGTGCGTGTTCAATTTGATATAGGATTTTGCTTTCAACGTGTTTTACCCGAAAGTCGTGAGATTAGTATGATAATAAAAGAAAGTGTATGTATATGTGGAGTAAAGACGCGGTACGAATACGGTTTTCCAAATCCATATTTGAATAACCCATTCGGGTCTAGGCTCATGATTTACTTCGTCTATGGTATTTCATACCTTAGAATTATCTATATGAAGTAAGCTTCTTCATATTTAAGAAAACGCGTTACTCACGTACAAAACAAATTAGTCATACCCTATTTGCACGTTCGGTTGATTGGAAGATTGTCTAAGTTTTTGTCAAAATCAGGACCTAACGACCATCTTTAACTTTCGTCAAAAAGCTCGTCATGGAGATAGAGCTGGTCTATGGTAAATAGAACAGTCGATGTAGTAAAAGAGCCGAATAAGACTTGGAATGATCTTTATTTTGCCAACAAATTAAAAGATTTTTAATTTTTTTTAATTCAACTAGCATTTTCTTATATCATATCCAGTATTGCTTATTAACGTTCATAATGCAAATGATTTTGGTGAAAGATAATGTTATTGATTGATTATTTTTATTTTAGGAGTACCAGAAACGGTTAATACTTATTTTCGCATGATTTCAAAAATCAGCTTAATCTCGCTGCCCATGATTTTCTTTCTGTTATGTTTATTCTTCAAATCCAACAAAAAATTGCTCTCTATCCATGAAAATTAACTCTCCGTTGTTGTGTTTAAACTTTCCAAATAACATCTTATTACCTCCTCGGGATTAACTTTATGCGCATTTGAACTCATAAATTAATCAACGAATAATTTGTAAATAGAGCACTTGCATATCTTATCAATGTTCTCAATACTCCTGCATTCAGCAAGCGTCTTTTCATTTTTATGTATTTATTTATTTATTTATTTATTAGTGATCCTCTTGTATCATTCTCCGGAAGTAGTTACTTTCATGGAAAATGATCACAAATGAAAAATAAGGAAGTAAGAGAGATTTTTCACGGTAGAAAGCAGGAGTGGTCAACAGGAAAGAGACCTCTTGTTTATAAAAAGGCATCGTCATTCGCAGATCTCTCTAGTAATAGAGGCATTCCTTCTTCTAGTTGCCACTCGAAACGCCTCATCACCTTTCTTGCACACAACTCAATGGTCCTCCCTGGTCGGATAATCCCTTCTTGTTTCCCCGCTCCTCTTCCGAGCCTCCTCCTCCTCCCCCTCCTTCTACTACTTCCGCCACTAACTATCGCCAAATTCATGAATGGACCTTCATCGGTCAGTGTTCCCGCCGCGTGGACCGCCAGCAAACCTTTCGACTTCAGTCTAACCTATCTCAATACCGGTTTCAAGGTCGTGCTTTCCAGGCTAAACTCAGGACCAAGTTTCTCATATGGCTTCGGTTGCGTTAATGGCAGTAGCTGCTATTTTGGCCTGTTTATTTTCCAACGGAGACAGGACATGGAAAACATCATTCCAGGGTTAGTTTATTGGGTCAGTCCGGAACCCATGAACGACACTGCCCAATTGCTACTCACCCAGGACGGCGATTTAGTTTTACTGGGTGACGATGGAAATAAAAAGTGGTCCACAAATACCGCTGGCAAGTCAGTCATAGGCTTTAACTTGACTGAAGTCGGAAATCTCGTGCTCTACGACAGAAATGATGCCATTGTTTGGCAGTCTTTCGATCACCCTGCAGACGGAATTATTCCTGGACAGGAGCTACGTCCCGGCATAAAACTAACAGCGACATCAGGGGCGCCGGATGGGACAAGGTGGGTCTACACGTTTTCCACTGATCATAAGATAGGCTTTGTCGCATCTGTAAGGGCAGCCTATTCTCCCCAAATTTACTACAGAACGAGCAATGTAAGCAAAATGAAGAGCGACGATGGACAGGTTGGAGCACTTTACAAGAATGGAACCTTCGGTGAGTTTGAATTGCCTCTTACATCCTCAGCTCAGTTTATCCGTCTGGAAGTGAATGGGCATTTGACGCATTATGTTCTTGATGAACACTCCAATGCTTGGAACCGGATGGATCTTCTGAAGAATCAAATTTGCAATTATCCACTTGTATGTGGTAGGTATGGCATTTGTTCAGGTGGCCTTCAGTGTCAGTGTCCAAGCGAGACAAAGCAAATTGAAGAGAGAGATCCGTCTTCCGGTTGCCATCCCAGCTCACCGATCTCTTGTGATTCACAGAATGACACTTTCGTAGCAGTTGAGAATATCACCTACTATGCTCTGGTGAACAATTATGTTAGTGCTGACATCTCAAACACAACTGCAGAGAGTTGCAAGGAAGCGTGTTTGAGGAAGGGGTGCTCGTGCACTATTGCACTATTTCGTACCCGAACCATTTTCTCTGGTAGGGACTGCTATTTATTATCAGAGCCATTTTCCCTTATGGACGACCCTACCGGATACTACTCCACCTTAGCATTTATCAAAGTCAACAATAGTACAAACAGATCGACGCCATCATCAATCTTTGGAAGAAAGAGAAGGGGACGAACATTGTTAATCCAAGGGACTACTGTTGGAGCAGTTTCGATATTTTTAATAAGCATATTTGGGGTGTATATTTTAAGTAAGGTGAGAAGAAAAGATGTCGAAGATGATGATCCAGACTTACCATGGCTTCAGATAACTAGATTCCCTTACGAGGACTTGAAGGCCATGACTGGAGATTTCAACATCAAGCTTGGGGAAGGAGGATTTGGCTCGGTGTTTCTAGGAACTTTACCCAGCGGTGTTAGGATTGCAGTCAAGCGCCTTGATGGTTTTGGTCAAATAAAGAAGTCATTCTTGGCCGAGGCCGGAACCATCAGCACTATCCATCATGTCAATCTGGTAAGACTACTTGGGTTTTGTGCTGAAAAATCGCATAGGCTTTTAGTCTACGAGTACATGTGCAATGGTTCTCTTGATAAATGGATCTTCCATAATGATCGAGAGTTTGACGTCTGTTGGCAAGTGAGGAGAAAGATTATCCTCGACATTGCCAAAGGACTAGCCTATCTCCATGAGGAATGCCATCAAAAAATAATTCACTTAGACATCAAACCCCAAAATATACTTTTGGATGAACATTTCAATGCGAAGCTTGCTGATTTTGGGTTGTCCAAGCTAATTGATAAGGACCAAAGCCATGTCATGACGACCTTGCGAGGAACACCAGGTTACCTTGCTCCAGAGTGGTTAAGCTCTGTTATCACGGAAAAGGTAGATGTGTATAGTTTTGGCATTGTCATGTTAGAAGTCCTATGTGGGAGGAAAAATGTGGACCGCTCTTTGCACAGTGCTGAAGTGCATATGTTGACCCTTTTCAAGTGCAAAGCAGAACAAGAACAACTACTGGACATGGTTGATAAGTCCAGTGGTGACATGCAACTACACGGCCAAGAAGCTGTCAAGATGATGAAAATCGCAGCATGGTGTTTGCAAGATGATAGTAGCAAGAGGCCCCCCATGTCGCAAGTGGTTAAATGCTTGGAGGGCTCAGCTGATATAGAAGATGGATTGAGATACAGCTTCTCAGGTCCTTCCGGTCACAGCGATCATGGTGTTGATGATGCTACTCGGCTATTGCCCTCACAGTTATCAGGTCCTAGGTGAACAAAACTAGCTTTGGACATAAACTCCGATGCTTTGATGGGGTGACTTCTTTTGGCGTTTCTGCCATATAAATTTGTTGTCTAGTAGTCGTACTTATGATCCAATAATTTTAATGTAATTCTAAGTCGCTTGTGATTTTCGTTTAATTGGTTGAAAGGTCATGGTACAAATAAAGATTCCAAACATAAATCAGTTTGCAGTAGACAATGCTAAATTCCATCACTCTTTCTAGTTGCGATCCAAACACAGAATGGACATCTAAGCAACCTTTGTTGTAAGATATCTTTCGTTAATCGCCAATCATTTCCTGCTGTCATGACTATGGTACATGATATTTCTCATTTCCAAACAAAGGAGCAGGTTGACCCCACACAGATCTGTCCCCTGTTTGAAGTGTTTCCAGGCCCCATTCGTATCAAAGATAGCGTAATATTACTCAGAGACATAAACTGCAAGTATTTCTATTCCAATTCCCGTAAACTAACACGTTGTCCAATAAGCAAAACGTTCCCCTAAAAGAAAGAAAGATCCTATCTCTAAATCAAGATGTGTAACGCATACTCATTAACATTTTGAACACCATAATTTGAGTAAGGAGAAGTCTGCCTGGGATGGATCTGAAACTGTTTATAAAATGGGTTACTAGTAAAAATTGCTACAGCACCGAACTTCAGAGATGTACCACATTAATAATTTCAATTCCAGAAGAAAAATAGGTAAATTTGGCTAGAATGGTGTATGTAAGTTTCGCCAGAGGAAGGGATTTGCCAGAAGGAAGATGATTTTACTCTCAGTTGGAGAGAGGAATGAAGACTATCCCGAGCTTAGAGAGGCTGGATTACAACTGCAGGATCTACATTGTTAGACCACTCGAAAAGAAGCATAACCGACATACAAGGTGAAGATTGATTAAAGCACAGTATGGAGCACATCGTTATTCAGGTGATCATAACAGACCCTCAGACATAGTAAAAAAATGACCAGTTGTTAACGAGGAGTCGTCAAGGGCTGACGAGTTGTTATATGAGCTTCTGCCTTCAGATTATACGTTATGCAGACGATGACAGAAGTAACCAAGTGGAGATAAGGAAACTCATTAAGTTGAGAAATGAGTATGTTTTGTGCGAGGCACTAACCAAAAAGTAGTGAACTTTCAGTGAATGAAGCTCAGAACTATTAAGGGATCCGTCCAGCCAAGATCGGAATCAGTCCGGGTTGGAATTTATGGTTTAATTTTTGCAATCATGCAAAAACACAATTGAATTCCTGGAGATGGTAGTGTTGCTCTAGTCATAGCATGTGTATCAAAGGAGACATCTTAATTATCTTCTCGAGCAAAATATAAACAATTCAGTGAAGACATCACAGAGATGGGAAGTCCTTCGAGTTAAGAAAAATGCCTTACTTACATCCATCTACTGTCAAGCCAAGGAGGAGGTTCCTGATGAAGCCGCAACGTCGGCGAAGTTGCTGACACCACTAACTTATGCCGCAAGCTCGCGAGAGTTGACGTGCGACATGGCTGGGCAGAGATTGAATCCGATTCTTCCTCCTGCTCTTTCCCCTTTTTCCCCCACAAAAAAAAAAAAACTAGAACATATTCTTTACTTCATATTGGCTGCATCTTCTTTATCTTCAAAGCACCAGCTACACCCGAGGAAGAAAAAAAAGCAGAGCATCAAAATGGCGGAGGCAAACAGAATCACTTCGCTCTTTTGCACTAGACACAGACATAAAGTTGACGATGGCAAAAGCAAATACTGCGTACTTATTCCCTCAAGCTTCTATCCATCGCATTCGGACACGGCTTCGAATGCAAAAGCTATAAACTTTCGCGCACGCAAATGTGAAGTGAGCAAGCAAAGGATCATCGAAGTCCGCCGTGAACGACGGTCGGCGGATGCCATGAGCGGCAGGGCAAGTAATTTCCCTCCGGTGCCGGATCCTGAGCCGTCTCCATGGGACGACTTCTTCGATTTTGTTCTTACGAGTCCGGCTGCACTTCCACGGGCTGTTTCGTATCGAGCGACTTCACCAGTAAGTAAAAAAAACTAAGGGGTACACCAGCTTCGTGCCCATAGAACGGGGTGTTTTGAAGCCACACACAACTATTGTTTGGGTAGATGCCTGAGACAGGCTTGAAGATGAGTTGTGTTCGTGCTTTTCATAGTCTTTTGCGTGCTGAAATATGCAGGGGCAACCGCGGACTCGGTCGTTTGTCCCGGAAAGAGTGATGTCACGGCCAACTCCTTCTAGTTTAGCTGGGTAAGCACACCAGGAGAATCCATAGGTCATCTTAGCTTTGGCATCTATGAAGTGATTATCATGATTATGATGACAGAGATACATTTTCCTTTGCATACCAGATCGTGCTCCGTCAAAACAAATACTAACCTTTCGAATTCAATTCGATCACGTTTCCTTTGTCGTCGTCGAGCATTAGGGACATGTGATCCTTAGAGCTGTGATTTGTTGACAATTCCGAAATGTGGGCTTCGTATGCAGCTTCACAACACCCATCTCGCCCCTTATACTCCTCGAGAATGCCTACGCGAGGCCCAGAGTGATCGTCCACGAGCCTCTTCCGAGATCCATCGGGCAACCTAACGCCCAGGTCTTGTCTGAGCGACACTCCATGTCGACGGGCAATGAACAGAAGGAGGTCTTAAGCAAGCTCAAGAAGGAGATTTACAACCCCGGGCCAAAGAGGCTCTTTAGGAGATTGAGCCTATACTATCGGGAAAACACTAGGAACGGTCTCGGAGATCAGAACAGGCACTACGACGACGACGACGGCAAGAGATGCGCGATATGCTTAGACGACTTTGAGCCTATGCAAGAGGTGATGGTCACTCCTTGCAACCATATGTTCCATGAGGACTGCATCGTGCCGTGGTTGCAGGGTCACGGTCAGTGCCCCGTTTGCCGATTTTCACTCTATGAACAGAAGAGGCAAACTCAACCGCCTATTGCACCGGCAGCAATCCAACCCTGGGAGACAATGTTTTATGTGCCTGAAACATTGTTCCGGTAATAAGGATGGAGGAGAAAGCTCAGCACACCAATTTGATGCATACGAAGTAATGCAGTCATATAAACATAGCTCTTATGCACTTTCTATGTATTCATACGTGAGACGTCGCGGCTATATCACGGACAGCGCCTTTATATCCTCGCTCAGATTTACTGGTTGTGGAGTTCATGAATTGGGATGAAATGATTTCGAGCTCATGACTAATACGAGGAACTTGATGCTTGAAATGGGCCAAGTATTTGCATGTTCATAAGATTTTGATATCGTCATTTCATCAACATCTTGTCCATGAATATTAAATTTTTTTCTTAAAAGGAATCGCCGAATAGTTGTAACTCAAAATTCGAGATAATTTCGTCTTTCTTTCCGGACTTCCGTTTAAACTGGTGAGCAACTTTCTTCGACGAACAATTGCTTTCACAACCCGTCCGGACAAAGCTTTTCAAGATCAACTACAACTGTTGTTGTGGTCACCGGTCATTTGTTCTTTGTAACATGAATTAATGTTGCAGAAATTGATGATTCCTCATTGAAAGAGGAAACATACGTAGCTTTGAACTCGGTACATTACATGAAGATCAAGGAAAATGTCACTATCCACCAAATTGTGCAGCTAAAGACAAATGACTGCTCATCATGGGTATCATGACACGGTGTCCATATAGGCTCCACGAGTCATGCGCACGGTAGCTTGCACTTTCGATTCCCATCCAAGCAAAAGGTTCGAAACATGAGGCCCAAAGTGCAATTCCAATTTTCCTCACCAGTCAAAAGGATGAAGAGGAAAAGAATCTCACTTTCCCATAGCTCGACCAAAGAGAAAGTATAATATAAAAAAGAAACGATTTTTTATTAAACTACGTTTAATCAATGCAGGTAATTAAAATCGAACATAGCAATTCAGACGACGATCGAGATAAAAGAAAATAGATTATAGTATTTTGACGTAGAAACGGAACATGTGGAAATGCGTAATTGCACCGAGCGGTTTAAAATCGATCATAGCCCATGTCGTGGACCTATTGAAAATTGTGATTTGTTAATAATGTATTGATAAAATGAAGAGCCAAAAAAAAATCTTGGAGCAAGCAAATTATCGAAGGAAAAAAAATGAGGGAAAAATCTGGGAACAAGGAGACGAAGAAGAGGAAGCAGCCATTGCGGAAGAGCCACGTATTCCGTTCCCGAACCACATCCACTCCCTCTAAAAATTGACACTCCCTCTTCTTCTTCTCCTCCTTCTCCTTCTTCTCCTCTTCCTCGGCATAGACAGAGAGCGAGCTCGTCTCTGCTCCCTCCGTTCGACCGCAAAATCATCCTCTGCTGCTCGAGGTAAGGCCCATGCTCTCTATGCTGTTTCGGTTCGCATCTTGAATTGCAACGATGGGTATCGCTCGTTCGCTCGCTCGACGATGGTCGTGCATGATCGTCTGGAGTGGCAGAAGGTGCTGAGCGGACCTGAGCTCGTGGGTCGTTTTGGTTTTGCTTGTGGTTGCGTTTTGTTGTTGCTGTTTATCGTCATCAAGATAAAGATTGAATTTTGAGAGAGTTGGAGATTTCAGGTGGGCTTGGGTAAATACGAAAGCGGTTTTCAAGTGCGGCTGATTAGAGCTTTTCCTCTTCACTCATGAGCTACGTCTGAATTCAGCTCGAATTCTCTCTTCGCCGTTCCTTTCAATTTGGAAAACTCGATTTTTTCGTCGAGTTTGGATTTTTCTCTTTTTGTTTGATTTCATTGGAGTTTGTTCACCTTGCGAGTTGTTCTGCAAGCTTGATGCCGGAACTGAATTTAAAGGAACCGTTCGTTAAGCTGGTAATTTTCAGCTAGATTAGGACTTCAAACAGTACTGCGCATTTACTGGTAATGCGAAAGGTAACTCGTTTGACAAGATTCGCTCTTTTCACCTTGTGCACGAGTCTTGATTCGCATTTACTGGGAGTGATCTGAGATCAGTTTTGTGGTGCTTGATTGGGGATTGTACCACTGCCTGCATATGTTGAGCTCCTCATTGGTAATCGCACTTCGAATAGTGAGATGCTTACATCATTTTAAATCTAATTGAGGATACTTGTGAGATAGATTCTTCCTGGATGTGGTGTACTCACCAACTTATGAATCCTACCGTTGTGCGATTTTTCGCTCTATTATAATTTGGTCAATTTACATTTTCATTTCATGCAAACAGAATATAGTCGGATGGCTTCATCGATGTCGTGCCTTGTGGCTAACAGTCTAACCACCAGCGGTACTAAGTCAAATTTGACCAAGGACTTCTATGGTCGGCGGATACTCCCTTCGTCTTCCCTTCCATTGTGGAGAAAGGAGGCAAAAGCTGTTTTGGTAAAAGCATCTTTGGACCAGCAACATGGAGGCAGGAGGAAGTTTCTGAAGTTGCTAGGAAATATGGGACTAACAGCACCTGCACTTTTGAGTGGTGGGAAAGCTTTGGCTGATGAGCAAGGTGTTTCTTCTTCAAGAATGTCTTACTCCAGGTTTTTGGAATATCTGGATAAGGACAGGGTGAAAAAGGTAGATTTATTTGAAAATGGGACCATAGCTATTGTCGAGGCGGTTTCTCCTGAGTTGGGTAACAGGGTCCAACGAGTCCGTGTGCAGCTCCCCGGACTGAGCCAAGAGCTCCTTCAGAAGTTCAGAGAGAAGAACATTGATTTTGCAGCCCATAATGCCCAAGAGGACTCAGGCTCTTTACTATTTAACTTGATAGGAAATCTGGCCTTCCCATTGATCCTGATTGGTGGTTTATTTCTTCTATCGAGACGCTCCTCTGGAGGAATGGGTGGGCCTGGTGGGCCTGGCTTTCCTCTCGCATTTGGTCAATCCAAAGCCAAGTTCCAGATGGAACCTAACACCGGCGTGACATTTGATGATGTTGCTGGTGTTGATGAGGCCAAGCAGGACTTCATGGAAGTGGTGGAGTTTCTAAAGAAACCTGAGAGGTTTACTGCAGTTGGGGCTCGTATCCCTAAGGGTGTCCTTCTAATTGGTCCTCCAGGAACTGGAAAAACGCTGCTTGCCAAGGCCATTGCTGGTGAAGCAGGTGTTCCATTTTTCTCCATTTCAGGTTCTGAGTTTGTTGAGATGTTCGTTGGTGTTGGTGCTTCCAGAGTTCGTGATCTTTTCAAGAAGGCCAAAGAGAATGCTCCCTGCATTGTGTTCGTTGATGAAATTGATGCCGTGGGCCGGCAGAGAGGAACTGGAATTGGAGGAGGAAACGATGAAAGGGAGCAGACCCTTAATCAGCTGTTGACAGAAATGGATGGTTTTGAAGGAAATACGGGTATCATTGTTGTTGCGGCAACTAACCGTGCAGACATTCTAGACTCTGCTTTGCTTAGGCCTGGAAGATTTGACAGACAGGTATGTATGTTTTATTCTCAGGTAGTGAGTCTTGATAGTGTTGGTGGAACAGTCAGTCTTGTGGTGCATATGCTTACTTATAGTATTGATGTAGGTAACTGTTGATGTTCCTGATATCCGGGGTAGAACAGAAATTTTGAAGGTGCATGGCAGCAATAAGAAGTTTGATGTAGACGTATCTCTAGAGGTTATAGCTATGAGAACTCCTGGATTTAGCGGAGCGGATCTTGCCAACCTCTTGAATGAGGCTGCTATATTGGCTGGCCGTCGTGGGAAGACAGCAATCTCTTCTAAGGAGGTTGATGATTCAATTGACAGGATTGTTGCTGGAATGGAAGGAACCGTGATGACCGATGGAAAGAGTAAGAGTCTGGTGGCATACCATGAAGTTGGTCATGCCATTTGTGGGTAAGTGAGAATGCCAGCAACTAATCTTTTTTCTGATTCTTCCCATCTTCTATTGGGCAAATTTTTTGCATGAGTATCTCCTGTTTATGATATTTAAATTTCAGTGCGCATTTGACTTTCGTTTATTTAGATCACTGAAATATTGTTATAATTTGCTTTCATTGACATGCAGTGATGCTCAATTGTCGATGATATTTCAGAAATGTCAATAGGGTTTTTGAGTCACCTATGTAGTTGGGCTTGCACTAAATGCATGTATCAATATTTGTGTACATGTAAATTTCTGTGACTACATATCAAAGGAGCTCAGCTTGTTTGGCTAATATCTTTGCTGTCTCTTTCTTTTCAGTACTTTGACCCCAGGGCATGATGCAGTTCAAAAGGTCACCCTGGTACCACGTGGTCAGGCACGAGGTCTTACCTGGTTCATTCCTTCTGATGACCCAACCTTGATTTCTAAGCAGCAACTCTTTGCAAGAATTGTTGGTGGATTGGGTGGCAGAGCAGCTGAGGAAGTGATTTTTGGGGAGCCTGAGGTTACTACCGGTGCAGCAGGCGATTTGCAGCAGATCACTGGCTTGGCAAAACAGGTGATTTGAGCAACTCACCATTTCATTTACACTTCCTTTTGAAATGCCAATAAATATCCATGTTAGTCCTTTCAAGTTTTGATAAAATAACAGTTTCTGAAGGGTCAAGGGGACTGGCCTTCCAATTTAGTCTTTAAAATTTATAAGTTGCTCCAAAGTCCCTTACGAATTAAAGCAGAAGACTTTGCCCACTTACTTGTGAGGACCTTCCATTTAGGTCATTTTCACAGTTTTCATGCTCTAATTATTGTCGAACCACAACTCAAAGCTACCTTTATCGCCAGTTCTTCCCTCCCTTAAAAAGTAAAACGCTCAGTTAGTTGAAAGTGACATTGAACTGGAATTTAATTCATATGCAGATGGTGACCACATTTGGCATGTCTGACATTGGCCCATGGTCGCTCATGGACGCATCACAGAGTGGTGATGTCATCATGAGGATGATGGCCAGGAATTCAATGTCAGAAAAGCTTGCGGAAGACATTGATGCTGCTGTGAAGAGACTTTCAGATAGTGCATATGAAATTGCACTGAGGCACATTAGGAATAACCGGGAGGCCATAGACAAGATTGTGGAAGTCCTCCTTGAGAAAGAAACAATGACCGGGGATGAGTTCCGTGCTATCCTCTCAGAGTTTGTTGAAATCCCTGTTGAGAACCGGGCTCCTCCTTCAGTTCCATCTCGTGTCTCTGTATAAAGTAGCATAAGTCAGTTTCCTGCCTCCACACTTGGTCATACATCTTCAACTGATTGGTGCATGGCTCGTGACCTTGGCGCTTAAGACAACAGAAGATTCATGTGTTGAGCTGTTGTTATCTGTTAAGTACCTGTATACTCTAGCATCAGATATGAACAGCTTACCTGTGATATAGGATTCCATGAACCATTGTATACATGTGTATTTTTTTCATCTGGTTAGGTGGAGCTTTTTCGGAAAAACGCAGTGAATCGTTTGAATGATGTTGCACATCTCTTGTGAAAAATGATCAAGTCTCTCTTGGTGACGCCTCACTACCGAGGCGGGAACCTAGCTACTTAACATCGAAGTTCTCTACTTCGTTTGCTCGCGGACTCTTGACAAGATCCCAGACGCTTGTCGTGTCAACATAATCTTTATAATGAGGACGGCACAACCTTTGTTTTGAGGGGTCCTTCGGCTTCAAATTACACGTTTTCTTTCACAATATATGTTTTCAATGTACTGATATTACCGACATATGGTTAGGCAGTGCTACGGAACACTTCTTAACATGGTTTTTCTTCATACAAAGTGCTTAACAATTCTGACCCAAAAAAAAAAGTACTAAAACAACATCCCTATCAGGGTCGTGCTGTTTCCACGTCCACACCCACTTCAAGTACTCCGACCAAAACGCCGTCAAGTTCAATTTGAACACATTTAGATGTTAGAAGCTCGTAAGAAAAGCGCGCTGAAAGCGAAACACACGACCAAGCGAGCGATCCTTGTCTTCCTGCGACAGGACATACGTAGGTGGCTCCTCGATGCCACCAAGATGTATGGGAAAATTCTTTAGCTCGTTTCCCTTCTCACTTGACATCGGGAGAGTCCCAAGCTCGCGCTTTTTGTCGTCGAACACTTTCGAGCTCACAAACTGCGCTCCATCGGCCGCGGAGTTCGTGGCTCTTTGCTCGGGCGGACGCGTCAAAGAAGCCTTCCAGAACTTCAAATCTGAAATATGGTCCGACCCCCGTTTGTTTTCCCACCTCCTCCAGGCATGCATGCCCAGAAATTCGCTTCCTTTAGGACGACAGCTTCATTCTCTGGTGATCACTTCTGGGTGCTCGGACAGGTTCGTGTCGAATCATTTGCTGAATATGTACTCCAAGTGCGGAGAGTTGCAGACTGCTCTGAAGTTGTTCGATCACATTCCTTGGGCGAATATCATGTCGCGTAACATTCTAATTAACGGGTACTTGAATATTGGTGATTTGGAGGGTGCCCGGAAAGTGTTCGAGGAAATGCATGAGCGAAATGTTGCCACTTGGAATGCAATGGTGACTGGTCTTATAAAGTTTGAGTATAATGAGGACGGGTTGGGTTTGTTCAAAGAGATGCATGAGGCAGGTTTTTTTCTTGATGAGTACGCTTTGGGGAGTGTTCTCAGGGGTTGTGCTAGTTTGAGAGCTCTGCATGCTGGGCACCAGATCCATGCTTGCGCAGTGAAAAGTGGGTTTGAACTCAATTTGGTAGTTGGGAGCTCATTGGCTCATATGTACATGAAGTGCGGAAGCTTGGAAGAAGGCGAAGGGGTAATCAGCTCGATGCCGATTCGCAATGTGGTTGCTTGGAATACTCTTATTGCAGGGAAAGCCCAACATGGATCACCTGAGGGAGTTTTAGATCAGTACAATATGATGAGAATAGCAGCTGTGAAACCCGATAGGATCACTTACGTGAGTGTGCTTACTGCGTGTTCAGATCTGGCAACACTAGGCCAGGGTCAACAAATTCATGCGGAAGTGATCAAAGCTGGGGCTACTTCAGCAGTTAGCGTCGTAAGTTCTCTGATTAGCATGTATTCAAAGTGCGGGTGTTTAGAGGATTCTTTTAAGGCTTTCACAGAATCCGTGGATGCGGAGGCAGATGGTGTACTTTGGAGCTCGATGATTGCAGCATATGGGTTTCATGGCCGAGGAGAGAGAGCGATTGAGTTGTTTAAACAAATGGAGATTGAAGGAGCAGAGGTAAACAATGTAACATATTTGAGTTTGCTGTATGCTTGCAGTCATCGTGGCTTGAAGGATGAGGGGCTCAAGTTTTTCGACTCTATGGTGGAGAAGCATGGGTTGAGTCCCCGGTTGGAACATTATACATGCATGGTTGATCTCCTGGGACGTTCAGGTTGTCTGAAGGAAGCGGAGGTGATGATTAGATCCATGCCATTGAAAGCAGACGCCGTAATATGGAAAACTTTATTATCTGCATGCAAAATCCACAAGAATGCAGACATGGCAAGGAGAGCTGCAGAGGAAGTTCTTAAGATTGATCCGCAGGATTCAGCTTCTTACGTGCTCCTTTCAAACTTACATGCTTCTGCTAAGAGATGGCAAGATGTTTCCGAGGTCAGAAAATCCATGAGAGAGAAGCAAGTGAAGAAGGAACCGGGGGTGAGTTGGGTGGAGCTCAAGAATCAAGTTCATCAGTTCGTGATGAGTGACAAATCCCATCAATACTCGACGGAGATAAATGCGTATCTGAAAGAGCTCACCGTGGAGATGAAGTTGCGCGGTTATGTGCCCGATATGGGTTCGGTTTTGCAAGATATGGATGATGAGGATAAAGAATATAGCTTGGCACACCATAGTGAGAAGTTGGCTATTGCCTTTGCTCTGATGAATACTGCTACAGATGCACCAATCAGAGTGATGAAAAACTTGCGGGTCTGCAGTGACTGTCACGTAGCAATAAAATACATATCGGAGATTAAAAACCGAGAAATTATTGTGCGGGATGCGAGTAGATTTCATCATTTTAAGAATGGCCAATGCTCATGTGGAGATTACTGGTAGAACATCCATTTTGTTTATTCATTCATTTCTTGGAATAGATTACTCATTATTCAATTGTCCCTCACTATTTCAACTCATAATTGTATCAGTTGTTCAAGGGAAATCTACCCTCTCATGATCGAATGCATTTTTCAAACAGAAACTTTGTTCCGGATTTATGGAATATGATCCACAAACATTGGTTCAAACTTCTGAAACCGAACAAGTCTGCCATGCCTCGGATTCAGAAGAATCTTAGGTTGTCGGATAGAATAAGTCGGTAAAGGGTCCTAATTCACGATAATTTACTGCAATAGATTACTATAGAAAACTTCCATTTGCAAGGCATGTAATTAGAATGATCTTATTTGACATTATTCGTGCAGCCTCATATGCATAAATTTGATCCTATATTGCTAACATGAGTCAATACAAAACTAAAAGGGTATATGAGATTCCAATGGGTCTTTATAATATAATGGGAAGAAATTTTTCGTATAATATACAGTGAGAATTTGGGATAAGGAGTATTCAAGTTTTAGAATTGAGATTGTGCCAAGAAGGCGCGACCCTCTCATGATCACCACCCTCGCCGAGGTGCTTGAACTGGAGGAGATGGCCGAACCCCTGCCAAGGCACTAGCTGAACGTCGGTGATGGATCGGTCTTTCTCGACCGCATTGAGTATCGATTTCTAGAGAAATTGTGATGATCAGAGTGACGGAAAAGCTTGGTGGTTCTAGTGCATGAGTATCTATCACTCCCTCCAGTTAACCACATGTTTCAGCAACAAGGAGCACCAATTTCAGCATGGAATCGTTATCATTACCTGCGGTAGTTGCCCCGTTGCAGGTCCTGAGCAAGTAAAAGAGTTTGGTGGATCAACAAAATTGGCTTCTCACTGGAACATGATGATATAGTCCATGTCTCAGACCTACCCAAGTTCATGAACGCGCAGCTCTCTTGTAATTTGCCTTCGGTTCAAGTACCCAAGTCCAATCTCTTGCAAATTTTTTCGTTTTTCACCGCATTCCTCTTACAAAGGACAAGAAGAAAATTTATTTGTCCTGGCTTCGTCTTGCAAGGGAAAAGAATCAGCTACAAAAGGAAAAAGAAAAACCGTGGCAAAACGATCGAAGATCCTAAAAAGCTCAATGAGGGCTCTCCAATTCCTCCTCCTCTTCTTCTTCTTGGGTAGGCGAAGGATCAGAAGCTTCGGCAAGAGACTCTAGCATATTCCTCACTTCAGATGTGTCATCTAAGTAATACCTGGCTTTGCTAGGCTTTTGACCCACCGTACAAGCAAACACCGCGGTGTTGGAGGAAAGAATATCTCTCGATACCGCATTGCCGATTATTTCAAACATATCCTCGTCCGATCGATCGTCTCCAATGCACAAAACAAAGTCGGCCTGTTTTCCATTCTCAGCCATAGCTGTGAATACCTTTTCAGCTACAGCACCCTTAGTAGCTCCCTGGAAATCAAAGGAGGAGAAAAAAAATAAATCATCACTTGTGCTTGTCAGTTGACGGTCTGTTGGCAACAAGAACAATTGGAACAGAAAAACGACTATGAAAGCTAAAGCTAGATTCCAATATTATACCTGTGGCTTGACTTCCACTATGAAATGTCCACTTTTCACAGACACAGGCTCGTTTGCTAGAACACTCTCGAGATGGTCTAACATTTCCTTCGCTTGAGAGGATCCGAATCCCGGGTCTGCATCACGGTATTGCCATACCAAAGCGCTCTCTTTGGCTTCGATTGAAGAACCATCGGTGGCTTCCGTATATAGTTGCATTACAGGTTCAGCTATAAGCATCCACCCAAAATCTGAGGTTTGTCCACAGACTTCCCACTCTTCTTTCTGTGACCACCTACGATGCAGCAGATTAACAATTTAAATAAAAGACTCATGGTTTAACACATTTAAAGGAAAACGAAAGAAAATGATTGGAGGCAAGGGGAATAGGAACTTAAGAAAGAGCCCACTTCCCATAAGCTTCCAGTGGCAAAAAGAAGGAAGTGTTCATCCTGCATTTCAACATTCAAACTTGAAACGAAGAACTACTTTAGAAGTTTCCGAGCAGATCAACAACGCTAGAAAGTATCGTGTATGCATTCATACCTTCCTATTACAGGTCACTAACACTCCTAATGGTTCTATCCGTCTCATTCATCTTGCAATGAAGGATCATGATTAGGAGGGATAGTGCGCAGTCACCACTGGGTACATATGGCATGTTAAGTGACCAAAATAGCATTCTGGTTTATACGTAAGATCCAGCTAGTTAGCTTGCACTTTCGAAGTATGAAGTCACGTACTGGACTTGTGCACTGGAAGTGAAAGATAAAACTATATAGAAGTATATATGCCAGTCGATGCATTGGCATGAGCATATACAGAAGACAAGAATAAGGACATAAATTTCTGCATGTAAATTCGTAACAAATGAGAGGAGAAAAGACAGAGCAGAAATAACACAAGGAACATACCTCACGAAGTACCCATGTTCTGCTGCAATACCGAGCTTTTCACAAGGAGAGAACCACTTGCTCAAGATTTCCTTGGTTCTTCCACTTACAATAAAGACTGTATTCTTAGGGTCAGCACATAGTGTATTCAAAATTGATACCTCGTCTTCACTTGGCGACTTCATAATAGAGCTTTGTGCCTTGACTGTGCCATCATAATCTAACAAAATGGCCCTCGCTTTTGCCCGAGTGTAAGCTGACAGTATTGTAGCTATTGAAAGCTTTCTGAAATTAGGATCAAGTGCCACAACTCTGAACCCGAAGCCAAAGCCAATTCCCCAGCATCTTTTCCTGAAATGTTCAGCACATATCCGCCCCATGTCTTGCAAAAAGCTACGGGACCAGTAAGCCACATCATGCTTACTAACATACCGATAATGCTTCTCATGTCGCAACTGCTTTTCAGAAACATTTGCTCCAATGGCCTCATTCATAGCCTCCGCAGTGGCTTCAATGTTCCATGGATTGACACGAATTGCCCCACTGAGTGACGGAGAGCAACCGATAAATTCAGATATTACCAGCATACTCTTTTTAGGCCCTTCTAAACTTAAAAACGACTCTGCATCAGACAGTCCTTGTCTACATGCGACATACTCATAAGGAGTGAGGTTCATTCCATCCCTTAAAGCTGTGACAACAACGCACTCAGCAATACTATAGTAAGCAACCCTTTCACTCGCTAGAACAGGCCTATCGATAAAGACGATTGGCTGATAACCCGGTTGGCCATACTCCTTGTTTATCCTCCTGCAATTTTTTTGTATTTCAGCCATTACTTGATCTATGTTTATTCCTCTCCCTCTTGCAGGATTAACAATCTGGATCAAAACCGCCTTTCCCTTCCACTTTGGATGTTGCTTGAGCATCTGCTCCATTGCCAAAATTTTCAAGTCGACACCTTTAAAAATATCCAGGTCATCAACGCCAAGCAAAACTGTTTTCCCATTAAACTTCTGTCTCAACTCCTCTACCCTATACTCCTCTTCTGCTTGCTTCATCAATGATTCAATACGACCCATATGAACGCCAACTGGCATAATCTTGATCCCAATAGTCCTCCCATAATACTCCAGTCCTATGTAACCTCTCTTTGATTGGTACTCTAAACCTAACATCCTACTGCAACAAGAAAGAAAATGCCGTGCATAATCGAAGGTGTGAAACCCAATCACATCAGAGTTAAGTAAGGCCTTCAGTATCTCGTCCCTCATGGGGAGTGTCCTATAGATCTCAGACGAGGGGAACGGGCTGTGAAGGAAAAACCCCATTCTTACGCGGTTGAATCGCCTTCTCAAGAATGTTGGCAGCACCATCAAATGGTAGTCATGTATCCAGATGTAATCATCATCAGGATTTAACACCTCAACCACTTTTTGGGCAAACAACTTATTCGCAGAAATGTAGGCTTCCCATGAAGACCGATCAAAATGGTCCCCGTGTTCTGCTGAGAACGGCAACATGTAATGAAAGAGTGGCCACAACTGCCTCTTGCAGAAGCCATCATAGAATTTTGAGAAGATATCAGATGGAAGAAACGTGGGGACACATTTGAATTTTTCCAACAGTGTCTGAGAAACATCGTCCTGCTCACTTGGATCGACACTGACTTTCAACAAACCGACATAGAAAACTTCCATATCATCTGCAAAACCATGCTTAAGCTGCAGGAGCAAAGAATCCTCGTTCCAACTAAAGCTCCATCCTGTGTTATCTGGCCTTCGCGTTGCTTTCAGCGGAAGCTGGTTAGCTACTATAATCATCCGATCAGAAGAAACAGAAGAGGGGTTTTCAGATGTCACGCTATATGCTTGATCATCATCAAGCTCCGCAATATTCCCGGGAACCGTCATTACCCGTGGAAACCGCTTCTTTTCCCTTCCCATCGCGGGGAAATTCCCTGTAGCTAAATCTACGAGATTGGTATAAGACCGTGACATCATCTTGTCGCCCTTTTCTGAAGCAGCTGATGATAAGAAAGAAAATGTCTGATCAGAAGTTGGGTGATTGCAAACGTAATGGCCTAAAGCCAAATCTTTTTCACCTGACTGGCAAGACAGACGGATGATAAAACACAAACATAGGTAAATCGCGTCAAACATTGTTTATGAGCATGGCTAAATTGGGCAACCAAAACACGTAACTCCTAAATCATCTCACAAAAATGCTTACTGAACATCTGCCAGCGCAACACAAGCTCCGACAAACCAAATGCCAAGAAGCTAGCGACGAGAACCCAAAGTGGGTGATTGAAAAACTTCTCGCTTACACCAATACAATCTAGAAATAGCAACATTTCGCAAAACCAATGCACTAGATCAACATAAACAGCAAACGCGGGCACGACATTATCCATTCTAGAAACCCCTGGTCGACGTACAGGAAGATCAAGAACACGCTAGACAGTGACCCTGTTCATCAAGTTCAGATCCATGAGGATGCAGAAACCCACGATTCGGAGGATCAAACATCTCTCCGTTTTAATAGAAACAAGCACGACGGCGCAAGCTACGGAATCCACCCACCACACGCATTGCATTTTCACAGTGAGAAAAACGTATACAGAAGAACGGGCCCCCACTTTGCCAAGAAACAGAAATCCACGGCGATCCCATCGATCGTCATGCAAAGACAACCGGCAGCGTACGGAATTCAAAAGCGAAAAAGGGGAAGGAACAGCTTTGGGAAATTCACGCGCAACCCACCTCGGTTCTCGAAGCCAACGACAGCCCCGGATCCTTTCCTCCTCTCCCCCTTCACAATGCGATATCCTCCGATATCAAGAACGTCCAATGCATGACTCGAGCTCGCGAAACGAGGTGAAAATCTTGGGGCCGCACACCGCAGTAACGTGGTGTCCTCTTGTGGGAAAGGAACCAAAGGGAAGGAGGAGAAGAAAAGATGAATCTTTTCACTGATTCTCAGATGCTATAGTTTTGGAGATAATCAGGCGGGGGTCAAATTTATACAGGCGATAAATAATATATTTCAAAAGAAAAAAAAAATGAGAACTTTGGGGAACGTGGCAGAACACTGCGCGTTGAAGTCACGTGAGGAGCACGCGCGCCAGCCCCCCCGTCAACTTCCTCTGATCAACTGGGATCTTTTCCGGCACGTGACGGAATTGGTTTCGGATAACGATGTCGCCTCACGCGCGTGCGCGGGTGACTCGAGAGGGGATTTTGTTTCGATGACCGCCCCGTCGCTCTAGTTTTTTCCTCTGCTTCTCTGACTGAGAGAAAATGGATAAGGTTTATAAATATAGCCGACCGTTCGGGGAATGCCAGGTTGGAGACTTCATGCGGCGGGAAAGGCCACGCGCGCGCGACATGTGGAGCGGCGCGTGGACTGTACGGACGGCGGGGGGGGGGGGGGGGGGGGGCCCTCAATCGGTTGCTGTGCGCTGGCGCTGAGCGGGACTGGCGGCGGTCGGGGGAGCCGGGCCGTCGTTGACGCCGGTGGGCCGGAAATCGGCGGGCTCCGTTGCGCCGTTGCACAGGGAAGAGCAGCGTTCGCCAAGAATCGAGTAGTCAAGTCACAATTTCTATCTGAATTTTCATCAACTAATCATCAGCAGTACAACCCGTTCCTGTAAAAAACAGAGAAGTAATGTAATTCGTAATAATCAATAAATCGACATTGAACTCTCGGTCACGCCCGTTAAAATGTTTTACTGGAATTTATTCCCGAATTTTAAGTGCGGAGGCGGGCGATCGACCAACGAAAGGATTAAACTTTTTCATCGCGGATGCATGTACATCTGTTGCAAGTGCAGTACCCATAATCTTCTTTTGGCCATGCCGTATCGTATCCACTCCATTAGCTTACATTGACAGAGAGGAAGTTGAGATTCGTTCACTTCATCCAAAGGGATTGCTCGCATTGATCAAGTAAATGATGGTTAACATAAAACTTGCTTAGCTTGCTAGGAAATAGCTTGAATTATCAAGTAAATGAGCGTTAACACGAGACTTGTAGAGTGCGGTATAATTGGGTAATTGTAGAATAGAAATTAGTCGGATTAGGGTCCCAATGCAAAGTTAGTTCATTCGGCCTTTTAATCCAAAGCCACGGGTTGTAATTTTGCGCAAACTAGACCATCGAAACTGAGCATGAAACAATGAAAGAGGTGGCACAAAAACATGTTCCTCATAAGCAAAACTGATACATAAAAGCACCTGTTCCTGAGCAAAAATGGCGACCAGATCTTAATTCGCGACTTGAACAAATAAAGGGAGAGCGAGCAGACTTCTTAGAATCTATAAGAGCCTAGCCGGTGATATTCTGGGACTTGTTAAGGATAACACCTTCGTATTTAACCTGGAACCACTTCATGGCATCCTCCTTGGTGACCCTGTGCTGGATCCCGACGCGAGACTTGCACCTCCGACGGCGGCCAACTCTGTAACCAGGCCGTTCCAGCACAACATAGAAATCCATTCCATAAATACCAGTCGAAGGGTCATACCTAGGAAAGAAGGAAACACAGTTGTTCAGCAAGCAAGGCATGAAATAGATTATGCTGGAAAGTTGAAGCACTGAGAAGCAACAGTCTGGACCGGTAATCATTATATAAAAGCAGTTATTGATGGTTTCCTTGGTAGCTTATTTAGGAAATTAGAGAGGTAAATTAGTGTTCGACCAAGTGCAGCATGTAGAGAGTGCTCAACAGACTGAATGAACTGACTGGCTGCCGGCAGACTAAAATTGACTGTTGAGTTGCGGATACTACAAGGACAACTAAGGAGATAGAAGCCTTATGCAAACTCTAATTTACTTTCTCATGAAATGTGTTATACACTCCTTGCATGAGCGCACACTGGGATGTTAATCGCACATAATGCAGCAATTCTGAGGATGATGAAGATGAAATTCCCAATTGAAATTTGGTGGGTTGGATTGACTTACTTAATACCAAGATCAATGTGCTCCTGGATACCAAAACCAAAGCAACCAGTGTCACTAAAGTTCCTTCGCAGCAGCTCATATTCCTTCACCTTCAAACCACTCTCGAGAAGCTGCATTGCTTTTTCACCCCTGACAGTGACATAACATGCGATCTTCTCATTACGCCTGATTCCAAAAGAACGAACGGTGTACCTAGCTACAGAATAAAACATCGAACAACAGAAAATGTACATTAGATGACATAGGGGAAAACTCCCAATAGGCAAACAAAGCAATTCATAAGGTACCAATAAAGGACAAGTAGCTTACTGCATGCAATGTGCACTAATTTCATATGACATGTATGCATTAACATGTGCATTTGGGGAAAAAACAGAGCAAAGGTAATAATGTTCTTGCACTCTCAAAAAACAGTGGTCAGAGGGCTGCCTCTAGATCACACATAAGAGACATAACACCAATAACAGTGTAATGGAGCAATCTGAAGGAGTTTAGGACCGCCATTGCAGTTCAAGTGATCTCCATTTCAGCACATGCATCAGCATTTTTTAAAACTCTCAGGTGCTATCAAAAACTTTCTGAGTTAATTAACATGTATTATCAAGACAAACATTTATAGCCACGCCATCTATCAGGGGCAAATCAACTGCATCAGTGCTTGGAAACCAGCTCCTAATTCTCTGCTCCAGAACCTTAGCTATAACTGAAATCAAAAGTAAGGAGCAAAATCTCAACTTTTTCTCTCTTTCCAGAGATTCTCAACAAAACCAAGAAAAAACTCGGGGACACCCTTTAGATAAAAGGTCTTTAACAAATGTTCTCCTCCGCCAACTCCAAGTGAGTCACAGTAAAACCGACCCGACTTTTCCTAATTGGTCAAGGGCATCTTCAGCTAGCGTCCACCCACCAAATATCTATACTTAGAACAGCTCTTGTTACATCCTTCCCAAAGTCAATATCCAGCTCAAGATAAGCCAAGCGGAAGAATTCAACACATTAACTCTTAACCGAAAAAACAGAACACAAAACAGCATTGGACCCGGATTTTCCTAATTCCTACAATCGACATCAGAGACACGAAAACAAATGACGCCGAATCGAATCGGGATAAAGGAACAACCTTTGGAGAAAACAGGGGTCTGGCCGCTGAGCTGCTCCAACACCTGCGAGCCCCATCAAGTGGCGAGACCCGAATCAGCAAGGGACGAATTCATGATACAACATAACCAGACAGCAACGGATAGACAGATACAGAAGTCCCACACGGGTGCGCCCGCGGAATGAGACAAGTTACCTTGGAGGCCCTGGTGAGGCGATCTCCGCTCTCGCCGACGGAGATGTTGAGGACGAGCTTCTGGACCTTGATTTCCCTCATGGGGTTTGACAGCTTCCTCTCCGACGCCTGCTCCGGTTCCGGCATTTCCCGAGGGACGCAACGAAAGGCAAGAACTTGATGAGATCAACCGGACACCTAAAGACCAACGCTGAAACTCGGATCGAGAAGGGGAGAGAGACTCACCATTGGAACGTCACGAAGCGCGGCGGCAAACGAAAGGGAACGGAGGTGGAGGAGATGGAGAGAGAGAGAGTGTGTCTGAGAATGGCCAAGAACCCTAATTTGGCTCTTCTAGGGTTTTTTAGTCGAAGGACTCTTGTAGAGTTCGATGCCCAAGTGGGCTTCTTTGTCCATTTGCTGGCCCATGATATTTTTCCTTAGGCCCATGAAAAATTATATTATTTTATATATATAAAATTAATGTCGGATTTGAGAGAATGTTCGCTCCAATGCTCGTCATGTGGCATTTTATGTGTCGTCTATGACTGTCACGTGACGTGATTTTACCATATGACTCATATTCGATCGATAAGCGGTCAATCTATTGATTTTCCATCCCTAAACTTTCATCTCTCATTATCTTTATAATTCAAAAAAATGAATAAGGAGGAGATGTTTCGCTGTACAGTTTTAAATCACGTGGCTAATTCGTATCGCTCCCGAAACATCTCTCTTGCTAGTTTGGAATTGGAAAACGAATAATGCATGAAAAAAAAGTTCCATTGATAACCGAGGTATGGATGAGGTTTCCATCGCTTGTAAACTCTTTCTTTATCTGTAGAAATCGTAGCCCTCTCGACGTCCGAAAGGAACTGGAATACCATTCCCGCTCTCCACTTGTTTGTTGATCTTCTTTCCCATACGGCTTCTCTTATTTTTTTTTTGTGGATACGTGTTGAAAATGTTCTTTGGGTTTTTCAATAATCACAATGTTAGTGTGCTACCTAGGGATTAAGGGTGTTAATGAAAAAGGACTTGATTGCACGAATTGTGACACATTTAAAATTGAATGGCTATTTAATCCATGGGCAGTTTTCGTCTTTTTGCTTCTTGTTTTTTACTTTTTTTTTTTCCTTTGTAATAAAGGACATTCTAAATTGCGAAAAATTCTACATTTGTAAAGAAATAAGTAACTACATCATCTTGGCATATTGACTATTAAACGATATAAGCTTTTTCCAAAAGTTGTCGCCTAAATGGATGAGGAGATATTCGATAATCTTGATAATTGTTGCTTTAACACTCTAGGAGCAGTCAATATTCGTCCCTCTGGTTATACTCCAGGAGCCGGCGAGGGCCACCTCGTCAAGGTTAGAGAATTTGAGATTCAAAATTAGGCCTTTAGATTTCAAATTTTCACAAAAATAACCAAAGGTTAACTTTTTGTCAAACCAAAGAATTTAACCTTTGGCTGAAAAAATTAGGATTTCATGTTTTTAATTTTTTTAGGGACGGTGAAATTTAGAAGTCTCGAAGTCCATTAAAATAATTTCAATCTATGAAGCCTCAACAGCTGATCCATCATTTAAAGGAGTCTTTTGATAACCATTATGTTCTCGAAAACAATTTATGCTAATGGTTTTTTTGTGGATACGTGTTGAAAATGTTCTTTGGGTTTTTCAATAATCACAATGTTAGTGTGCTACCTAGGGGATTAAGGGTGTTAATGATAAAAAGGACTTGATTGCACGAATTATGCAAGTTTAAAATTTGAATGGCTCAATTAGACCGCAGGCATAAGTTTAAGGACCAAATTGATCTTGTTATTTACTATTTTTATTTTTCGTTTGTAATAAAGGACATTCTAAATTGCGAAAAAATTCTACATTTGTAAAAGAAATAAGTAACTACATCATCTTGGCATATTGACTATTAAACGATATAAGCTTTTTCCTAAAAAGTTGTCGCCTAAATGGATGAGGAGATATTTGATAATCTTGATAATTGTTGCTTTAACACTCAAAAAATAATAGGAGTAG